GAGGACATGACGTGTGTTGGTACAACACATTACGTTTAAATGACTAATGGCCGTTCAATGTTTCCTCTCTTATGATTAAATATGATTAAAATTAATAGAAAGATACGTTGTTCTGAATTTATTTAGTTCTTATTTGCGTGAAGAAAGGAATCAACGCAAGCAAATGAAATTAGAAATGTAAAGCTTCTTGTTGCACCTTGCACAGTTCTAGTCATCATGTAGTTTATACAGAAAGCCTACGCCGAAGTTTATAAACGTTACGGTAGTTCAGTGAAGATTTCTTCACTTTCACTCTATACACATAAATTTAAAATTATATGATGTTTTGTACCATTTATATCTCAAGAAACGTATAGTGGCTACAGAGTTAGAGTTAGTGTATCTTACCCGGCACAAGACATGTCAGAAAATAAGTGCCAAACTAAGAATCTGTTTCGAGGTCCCTGTTGGAAAAATGGACATTATCGACTGCGTGACCACGAACGTATAAACGTCCGCCACACACACACACACACACACANCACACACACACACGCGCGCGCACGCACACACACGCACGCGCACGCACGCGTACACACACATATATATATACACACACACACATACTTATCACTGGACTAAGACCACAATATTTAAATCTTCTTTTCAGCATATAAAGAGGGATACGAAAGAAGACAGAATGCGGTGGTACGAATATAAACGTACGCAGCAGCTGAGAACATTTCACACTTGTCCCCACAGCAGACCCAAAGACCCCACGAATTCAAATTACATGAGCTTCTACATCAGTTTTATAATAGATGATTGCTTTAGATACTGGCAGTGAAAGTAGTTTCACAACTTGTATATGGTTTCCCCCCTTGGCACTACAGCCCCAGTGGGCCTAGGCCTACCTCCATGAACTTCTCCGTTCACTTTGGTTTTTATAGATCTTACACGTTCGGTAGGACTCCTTGGGCGGGTGATCAGCTCGTCGCAAGGCCTCTACCTGTACACAAACACAGAAAAACGCACACATACAAACTAAACATCCATGCCCTGAGTGGGATTCGAACCCACGATCCCGGTTTCCAAGCGAGCGAAGACAGTACATGCCTTAGACCGCTCGTCTACCGGGACCGGCTGTATATGGTTTAGGCCTATATATTTTTTCTGTTTGACTCGTTGAATTACGGAGCGCATTGTGAGACTGATTTCCAAAAGTAAATTCACAGACCTGGATAGCTCAATCGACATAGGAACGGGCTACGGGCTCTACAACTGCCTTCCATTTCCGGCAGGAGCATTGTTCTCCACTCCACAGCGTCCAGACAGGCTTTGGGGACAACCCAGATTCTTACCCAGCCGGTACCGGGGGCTTTTTCCCCCGAGGTAAAGCGACCGGGCCGTTAAGCTGACCACTCACATCTGTCTAGATCTGAGATCAAGAATGGAGATATACGTCCAGTCCCTTATACGTTTCCATGGCGTCCTGTTTAATTAATTGAACTTAGAAATAAATTTAGGTTACCATAACTTACCTCCCTAACAAAGCTTCCAAAAACTGGCTGATTTTCATAGAATTCCACAAGAATATAAATTCACTGAAGACCATTGTAACTTAATTTTTGTAATAATTTTCCCAAGCTGGAGGACCACCCCTTGTCGGCTGTCCGCGACTGCTTATTCAGTATATTCCCAGCTACCTTCCATATCCTCCATCCGCAACCTGAGGACGCGCCATGCCGTGGTGACAAGGGATCCACCTTAAATTTAAAAATCGAAGTGTCACGCTTGATGAGTTCAGAATAAATACTTTTAAACCGCGCAGTTTATAACGTTGCACAATACTTAGTAAATCGGTAGGTCATGATTATTGTACATACTTACAGAAAGTTCTGCTAAATTTTAAAGTTGCTGGTACATATTCCTACTTAACCTAGAGACTATGGCCGTGCCATACCTCAGGCGGTTAGTCTCCTGCTTCCCACCCTTGTGTCCCTGGTTCGATCCCAGGTCAGGTCGTGTTGGATTTGTGGTGGACAAAACACCACTGGGACAGGTTTTCTCTCAGTACTTCAGTTTCCCCTGCTAATTATCATTCCACCAAATACTCCATACTCATCTGTCAGTCGGGACCGGTACAATAGGCCAATTAGTCCCCGACGTACCAAGTGGACTCAGTCTCACCCCACCACAGGAAACTAAAAAAAGTACATAGAGACTATTTCCGAGCTCGCCTTTAACCGAACGTCGCGAACGTCGCGCTTAAGGGATTAGAACTCGTATAATCTAGGCCCAGAAAACAGCCATCTTGACTGACATATTTCGTGCTGTCCCTAGGCCGTCCAGACAAAAGCCGGGAGAGCATGGCCTACCGGAGCCATGAGTGTATCATGCACGCACCTTCCACACTCTCCAATTGATTATTCTACCATTCGACGCCTATAGACGTCGTCGCTGATAAAGTGTCGTTATATAATCCAAGATTCGCTTTTGAGCCCGCCTTTTGTGTCTCACTGACGCTCTAACTCGATCCATCCTGGCTGGTACGCGACAAGCCTTCGTTTGTGTATACTGTAACGTTTTATTAGTGTTCCGATAGGTTAAAGAACCAGAGTTGCCAACAGACAACACGTAAGGTATGTGAAGTGTTTATTTCAGTGGTACTTATGTACTGACATACTCTCCTTAGCCACCTGCCTATATCTGGCAGCCTGCCATTTGGAGCGCTTAATAAAGTATCTCTTTTTCTTGTGACAAATTCGTGACAAGACACGCATTA